TGAAATCGCTTTAAAAATCTAGTATATTCGGCCAAGACATATATAGAAGTCGCATTTATTGGACAATTTCTACTTCTGAATTAATTTTAAGCGTATATTATTAATAACACATATGACTCGTTAATTCGTGGAATCGGTCTTCCATCACTAATCGACTGAAGCCATTTGAAGCCATTTTTTTGGTTGTTAAAGCCATTAAATAAGCCATTATTTGGTAGTTAAAGCCACTGGAGGTTCACCCACCAGATACAATATTTAAGTGACTATTATATATACTCACTCATTGACTTGCATTATATGGATCGAGTTTCACCTATAAATGTTTATAGGCCAATAAGCTAGACAAATTTAAGTCGAAAATTACTGAATTTACTTGAATCTTATAGTCATATAAGCCTTTAATTATCTTCAAAGATTCTCATTTGAAAAAAAAATATTTCTATAAGAACTCTGTTCATATCATTAAGACATAAAGGTGCTCAAGGAATTTTCTGTTTTTTTAATTGTAAAAAAGACTCATTTGTCTAATCTGTTAAATAAATAAATAACAATAAAATGTGTGTATATACTCTTTGAACTATCATGCAGTCAATACATCAAACAACACCCTCGATTCCAAACGATTTTAACAGTGGCAAAGTTTATCTTATAGTGATTATATGTTTCTTACACCGGTTCACTGCAGAACTGCAACCAGTTTCATATTCACCAGCAGGGGCTCGTGCAGATGAAAAAAAATTGAATGAAAATTTCTTACAACAATAATTAATGTCACAAAATCTCAACATCTCTTTATTGTAGAATCACATTCTAATATCTCAATTTTACTTGTCGGAAATTAAGTTAGCGTATATAGTCCCGACGTTGACACATGGATTTGTATACGTACCGTAATCTGTATATTCATATAATAATAAAAACATAGCTGTATTTAAATATCGGTTCATCCTACCTTTCTGTCAGTCATGCAAGAGAAGGCATTATTTGTTAGCTCTACTCAATTCAAGTAGCCTCTCTTAACTATTTAATTTATGGCTGCCATCAATTCAATGTTTTTTTATTCATAAATAAACTATTCTCAACTTTGCCTACTAAATATATAGTACTTGGGTTTTGAGCATTCGTAATTTAATTTACATCTATCCGCCACATTATTTATAAGTTAATTTGAACGAGGTAACGTTCATATCAATTTTATTTTAAATTCAACTCAGCAATGCAAAGCGTTGTGGTAGCAAAGTTTCCAGACAAATGATTTTGCTCAGTAGACGACGCAGCGATGTCCTATATAATGCAGATCTGATGCGGCGATGGTATTAGTGTTGCCAAATGATGCTATATAAACTCATAAACTATAACAACCTTACACTAATATGCATCCATTGCAGATCTGATGCGGCGATGGTATTAGTGTTGCCAAGAGATGCTATATAAACACATAAACTATAACAACCTTACACTAATATGTATCCATTTAACGTAATCCAAAATTTAGGATAGAACATATAGGAAATTTAATAAGACAGTAGACAATTTTGAAAATATTGTACATTAGAGAAAGACTCGTTAAACCCAAATTTTGGTGGGAATTCTCTTAACTTCAAGTTTTAATTCAAATGATTTTATTTGAAATAAATCTTTCCTAAATTCGCTTTAATTCATATCTTCTCCTGGCCCTTTTGGAATGTCTTACTATTCTACCGATTAAACAACAAGGTCAGGTCCAGGTAATATATGCGGACACAATCATAGTTATTGTCAACACGAACCTGAAGAGCCCCGATCTTTCGCATTTGCGGTGCCTGCAGGCTTTAAATAAAAAAAATCGGCTAGAAGCGGCGTCGCTTGGGATCGATAATAATTCGTGAGATTTGAGAAACTGTTTACACATGAGCACGCTACCTTCAATCTCATAGCTAATTATTAAACACATGTAATGTTAAAGACCTTCATCTTCAACCCCTAATTTAACAAAAAGGCTTATCACTTTTATTTTGCTTGAACGCTTGGTGGAAATTTGAATTTTTTCATTCATGAGCGAAATTTAGATGGAATGGAATACTGAAGCTTTAAACTTTAAACCGACAGAAGAAGCTAATCATTTGGCCCAAATCGAAAGCATTATTGACAAAGAATGTGAGTGGAGAATTGCGTGGGCGATGTGATGGCACGAGCATCGTATAGATGGCCGCCGCCTTCCGAGCTCGGGACTTGGCCGTTCTACTATGCGGCAGCGGCGACGCGGTGTCATGTGAGAGCGCTGACGCAGAGAGCAGCGGCAGCGGCTGGGGGCCGCAGCAGCAGCGGCTGGGGGTAGCAGCAGCAGCAGCAGCAAATGAAGAGAAGCTCTGTGGTCTAATCTATTGATGTTGGCGGCCATATTGTAGTTGCGGTTAACCGCGGACCAATCAATGTGTCTCCACCGCAGCCACTCTTTGCTGCCTTCCCTTCAAACTTTGGTGTGTCGGACCGCCCTCACTTCCAGGGCACACATCGAACACTAATGATGAACATTGTTTTTTTATTCAAATGTTCAAATTTTATTCTCTTGAGTTAGATAATTTTCAAAAAATATCGCGTTTTTTCCATATCTGAATAGAATATTCCGCAAATTTGATGATATAGCTTTGAAATTCTATCACTACGGACACCATCTTGAAATTCCAGAACGTTTTCAACGTACCACAATCTAGAAAGCCTATATCCGAAGTACAGAAAACTTTCAGTATAATTTCAGCATTAATTCCACAGTTATTATCTTCAGTGTAACATTGGGAAATTGCAACAGTTAAATCTGTATCAATGATTTATTGACTCTGTTGTAGAAGCATGCCTTAAAAAATATACATCAAAATAATCATGTTCAGAGTGGATATTAAGTTTCAATAATGAAACGATATCTTTAGATATTGGTTTGCTAAGCTGTAAAATTAAGCTTCAGGCGTGCATGTTTTGTTTCAGTGAGTGAGGGTCGAGGGGATAAAGATAATTTTCCTTCTGCATGTATAGAAAAAGTTTAATATATTTACGTTGGTAAATATACATCCCATGTTGGGTGTGTCGGTACGAAGACTTCTCAAATATTAGAGCCGCACACCTACAGCTGAGGTCACAATGATGATGTAAAAGAGGAAGCAACTAAAGGCAATAAAATACAACATTAAATTGTGTTGTTCGGTATCTATAAACAGAGCTGGGCAGCGCTAGCTAATTTGAAATGTAGCGGGCGCTACCGCTACCGCTACAATTGCTTAAATGTAGCCTACTGAAAATGTAGCTCGCTACTGCCCACCTCTGTCTATAAATCACATGCACACACTTCAGAAAAATATTTTATCGCTCAATTGCGTCTCTAATCGCGCTAAACACACACAAAAAACATGACAATATCTTAAAATTTTACATACGCGGGAGATTCTCTTGACTCAGCTAGCAGATGATTGAACGCCTAAAGTTGGGTTTTTAAATTGACAACGAACGTTCACACCGCGGTCAACATCAGATAAACATGCCGAGCGAGCACATGCCAATATGTCATCTCACTGCTCACATAAGAACATGCATATAAGTTATATGAAATATGTTCTCTGTATAAGGTTATGTATTTAAGTTATACAGGAGAAAAACCTTCGATCGATACTCGCTATAAAATATAGTAAAGAGTTTAAATAAAATAAAATGGAATAGAATTTACGAAAATCTTGGTTTAGTAGGTTCGTTATTAAAATAGTTTCCATAGACAAATAAAATAATTTCGTGTGCTAGATACACAAACGTACACACGTACAAATGCACAAAAAGAATTAAATAATTTAAAATTATATGCAACTCGTATGAAGTTTAGAAAAGTTTTCTCTTAAGTGTTTTCATGCCAGCTTCACCCATGGATTATATAGGGTTTCATGATAGTAAAGCTCCTGTTGAATTTGCATGGCGATGCAGTGTATTATATATACGAGTACAGCTGCATGCATGTTATATGTACGTACGTGCACACACTCGCAAATAGTTATGTGAGCGTATATATGCAGTCCGGCAGGATCGTATACACAGAATAAAGAAGCTCTCACAAACTAGACTGTATTAATATATAATCGATGTCGACGTACTTATAAGCATCGTACTTAGCAACGCAAAATGAATTATTATCTCTTGATTAGTAAATACGTAATATAAAAAATTATACACAGAGTATATATATATAAGCATGAAATTCGTCAATAGTCCTGGCTTAAATATCGGTGTGAAAATTTACGCCTAAATGGACCTAGTGATCGAAGAAATATATTGAATTTATCAATTAAAATCAATACTGACTATATTTGAATGTAAATAGCGATTAGTTTCGAATTATTGTGTTGTCATCGTTGCAACATTAATGCCGCTGAGAGCACCGCTGATCTGGTTAGAGTGCGCCTCACCTCTCAATAGTTCAGTCAATGAGAGGTGAAGAACTGCAGTAGTAAAATAAATAAATGTAAAGTCTCGAGTGTCGTTTCCTGAGCTTGGGGCTCGAAACTTCACAGTTTAGCTGGAACCTAAGTCGGTAGGTGCGACTAGAATACTTGTCGGTAGGTGCGACTAGATTCTAGAATAATCGTTGAAAAATTTAAATAACGATGAAATGTGTAGTATAAAAGTCAAGATGTGTCGGATAGGGAGGAGTTTGCCAGGAAAATGTGTCAATCAAGAAAGAGCGGAACTGGCGTTCCGGCATGAGCGATTATCCCGCAGCTGCACGGCTGCTTGAGTGCAGTCTTGTCTGCTGTGCTCGAGCTTCAGTACAAAATGCCACGCCGAGGCGCGAGAGTGTTTGCCGTTCACAGCAACTCCCCCCTTCATCTTCCACCAAACCGCTCTTCCCCTAGTCGTGCCACTGCCTCCCCCATATTGGACTGGCGCGTGGTTGGCGGTAGCGGCGGTTGGTGAGGGCAGCCAAAAACCACCAAGACCGAGCAAACCGCCAACCACCTCGCGGACTCCGCAGTCTCGCCCAGCTCGCCACAGCGTCAGCATCGTCCACATACTCACGCGGCGGCTTTCTTTTGTGGCTGACGGCGTCACCGCCGACGTGTCTTGCCGCGACCAGCGCTGTCGCGCGGTGCGCTAGCGCAGCGACTCTGAGAATAGCAGTGTTAGTGTGAAATGTTTCAACTTACTTCGTCGTGTGATACAACTCTAATTTAAAGGAGCTTAAGCATAGAAGTGATTTGGTGTTATTTGAAAACAATGTAATTATTATCTAGTTTACTTCTTATTGTATTTTCGAAAATCGCTAAAGTACTTCGGTGCCCTAAAGGGTTTCCTGTTTAGAGTTTTGAGTGGTGGAAACGAATAAAAGATGAACATGGAAATACATTGAAGAATATATATTTTAATCTTATTGTTACAGTGATGACCTAATGATATACTTTTCAGGGTCAATGAAAACGCGGTGATTAATGTGCACCTTGATACCAACAGCGTGTTTAGATAATTCTCTTACATGGCTATATTCGCTTCTTGCTGCAATGATCTGTTATTTCATTTTAATTTGTTGAGTAGCTAGAGCTTTAAATTAAAAAATTCTCAAGTGTTGATAGATCACATCAATTCACGCACGATATCAGAATGTAATAGAATTTAATTAGTCATTTGATAGGGTTTTAAGAATTACACAACTAAATTCGTTTTTATCGTTCCAGTTTTGTGAGAAGACAAATGTAATTAATCGGCTGGTTCCCAATATTCTTAAATTATGCCATTTGTTACCACTTTAAAAGTTGACGGATGTTTTGCCAAATAAACTGTTTATTGAAATTGGTATTCCGATGAACTCTGATTACAATCAACTGCATTCTTTTCCTAGAAATTTGTGTGGAATATATTCTCTCTAAATTTCATATGCCTTTAGCTTCAAACCACTGAGTGGCATTTAACCTCGAAAAAATAAGTGGATACATGATATTGATTTTACTTATTCTGATTACAAATGTGGACGCGAATGGATTGCCACGTCACAGGCAAGAAGTGACTAGTGCCAGGCAGTGCCAGTGATCGTGCTGTGCCAGGCAGTGCCAGTGGTCGTGCTGTGTGCCAGTGCTGTGAGTACTAGACCGGCACCTGGTCCTAGTGCCCAGGTGTCGCTCTACCAGGACCTGCTGTTGTCTCGGTCTTGTCAGGCGGACCGCGACGCTGCGGCCACCATGACCGTGACGTGGCCTCCTGCCAGGGAGATGACCACTGACGTTCTGGGCTCTCCTATAGGAGCCTCAGATCCTCCTGGCGGAGAGCTCATCAAGACAGGGTCTCCTAACATCCTATGCTCTCCTATACCCAGCCACTGGCGCTCCAACAAATCCCTACCCACGTCCTTCCGTGTCGTGGCTCTCGACGAAGTCAAAGACGGCACGACGGTAAACGTGCGCGTCGGTAACGACGATAACTTCTGTGGCGAGCTCAGGAACAACACCGCACCCATGAAGGGGCAGGTCGCTAAATTCAACGACCTCAGATTTGTCGGCAGATCTGGAAGAGGTGGGTGATGATCTGAGCGTATTTTAGTGAATAATTGTATAGATTATCTTGCTTAAAAGGAAGTTAAATGAGGGAATGAATGTGGTTGATCACCTTGACAGTTAGTTTTAATGGTTAGTTTTAAATTGATGTACACTGACTGGTGCGTCTGCTAAACTCACAAATATTTCAGCCAACATTTACATAAAGTCTGTTTGTAAAATATGCCCGATTGTCGTTTTCTGGATTGTTGGCGAAATAATTGGAATGTTTCATGTTTAGCTCATACAAGGAAAAGAGATAGAATCCGGGATACAGAAAAATAAAAATTCATCCCGTAATACAAATTTATGTACGAAATTTTATGAGTAATTTAATGCGAGATATTACAAGACATAATAAACACAGGGCTCAGCGAATAAAGCCCTGGGAAATATTTATATTAATATAATTGTTTAAATCACTGTCCGGAGCTGTAGAAATCGTTTAATTCACTAATAAATTTTCGGCAATCCATTTCGGTTGTAAAGCGATTTATTTTTTTTCTGATATATATGTTAGGTTCTCATACCGCTGATCGAAATTAAAAACTGCGCTTTTAATTTCCAACCTATATAGAGCCCTAGTGAAAGGGCATATAATATTTAAGTTTAATATACTGCTTCTGGAAATATATATACACCTGTCGTCTTGAATTATAGGTAATTTGGTTTCGGATCATTCTCTCTCGTATTCCACTGATTTGTTTTCATTAAAATGGAAATGAACTCTTATAAAATCCGAACATTTGGTGCGGGCAAAACAGTTGTAAGTATTGAATTATGGAATTCGAAATGTTTGAATTCGATGATATCGGTTGTTCCGCTGATACGGATTTCATTATCATGTCTGGCGATATGCTCAATCCCGAGTTGAGCTGAAGAAGTTTTGAAGATTCGTTGTATTAATATATATGTTAGCGACGAATACAAAATAGAACTTATATGAACAGCTGCCGAAATATTTGATGAAGTGAACGGGACTTCTCAAAGAATATAAAAATATTCCACAAATAAATATGTGCGCTCCACATTTGGTCTGGAAAATGTTTCTTCCATGCAATCAATCAGTCAATTCAACAATAGAATCTATTTAGATTATTATGCACTGTAAGCTGCTTGAGGACACTGAATTTATATTCAATTTAAATTCATGTGGGGGCCCTTAATTGTATAAGTTTGAATCGTTGCATATTATAGTATTGGAGGCAACGCAACACCATATATTTATTATGACATTGGAATTAGAGGTGTTCATGCATAATTCTGAGTCGCTTTAGAATTTATCAATGGAAAGTTTTTATACTAATGCCGTGACAACAAGAGTATTTAAATGTATTCAAACTATTTGATTTCAGGCCTCTGAAGTTACGACTCGATATGATACTTGCATGGTGCGTTCAGACCGCTGAATTTATGGCTCGATATAGGATATTTTTTTTTATTTGTCGGTTCACCGTTTTTCTCCGTCAGCGAACTGATATTATTGAGGGGTCCAGGGTTTATCTTTATTGTCCGAATAATTAATTAGAACAGGCATGAATGATGAGACGTGTGCTTTCTTAGTAGTAATTATTTAACACTAGATAGAATTACAAGATTAGGCATGACGGTATTTTGTACAAGGTAGATGAGAGACGGAGTTTACGAAACTGCGAGTTTGTGAGAGTGCCGGAGTCGATGCATGGACGTCATGGTTGAACTATATATAAGGTTGGCCCGCGAGAAGTTCCGTCTTTCAGTTCAGCTTTCTTCTTACGTCACGTAGATCGAGAAACGTAAACAAACCCGTCATTGCCATGACGGATTGGTTGACTGGTTTGATCGCATTTCAATGATTGGTGAATGCCCGTGACGTCACTGAGATCAGTGACGTCACAGACGAACAATGTACTACATCCGCAAAAATGGGCTTCTCATGGGTCAACCTTATACTAGTTCAACCATGGATGGACGTAGTTGACGTGTCTATCTATAGGGTTAGCTGCGAATGACTGCAGTTATGACTGGCTGATGGCCTGCCTATATATGACTGACTGATGGTCTGCTTGAAGAGCATATATAGTCGTACAACAATGACGTCACAGAAGGTGACGTGGTAACCGCTGAAGCAAGTATGGGAGGTGACGGTAGACAACCTGACACTAGCAAGGCGAACAGACCGCTGAATTTATGGCTCAATATATGATACTTGCAAGGCGATCATCGTAGCTCATCGTTGACAAAAATTTTCTTGACGAATATTGAAAATCTTATTGTAAGCTTGACATGAACAAAATTAAATCGCATATTATTTCAAAAATTTGCTTTATGGCCTAAATATTCCATTATATTGCGATAGATTTAATTAATTCTAGAATTTAAGGACTATAGTTTCATATTTAAAGAAGCAAATTTTCATTTACTTCCATTTAGTTATTTGATCAGAATTGAATGATGTAACTTGTGGAAATCTTTAAATATATAAAAATACATCTTTAAAACAAAAATTATAGCGAAATGTAAAACGGAGAATCAAACATATGAAAAATAATGAGTAAATTTCGTTTGTGCAGGCATTCCAAAACCGGCACCAAATCTCACACGTATTAATTATTCATCAGTGAGAGAACTGAATTTCCCGACAAATTATTCTTTAACTATCATACAAGGGCTATAAAATGGCTAATGGGATATAAATCCACAATTGTTCTTCAGTTCATTTACTTCAGACGCATGATATTTTGTTGATATAGGCTCCGGTGTCTCATTTTCGATACCATGCAAATCACGATAAATTAATAAGATACGCTCAAACAATTTATATGTGGATTGGAATTTCATTCGAGAAAAGGTATGAAATATCCACAAGTATTTTGCGAGCGAGACGATGATGGGGCAATATTTGGTACAAGGGCCACTGCACTTGAATCGATCACTTCCGTTCACCCGACGTCACCGATACAAAGGGGAACACCGTCTCCTCTCCAGAGAAAACCCTCTGTAGAGGAGACAGATATATTTATATATATATATCTCATAGAAATATCGTCGGTCGAATTGAATAACGCATAAAGATTATATCAATAACTTACTGGTGCCACTATGAAACGTATATATGATAGGTTTTTAGTTAAGCAATCTATGGCGCAATGCTCTGTTACACATATTGTTTGTTTATTATTGAAAATGTGTAATTTCATTGTTTGAAAATAGAACGACACGCAATAAAAATATTAATCAATTTTTCAAATTTTACTTCTATTACTATGGTAACTGGGATACGTGTAGAGAATAATAAGTATGCAGTAGGTAGGAACAATCACAGACAGAACACCATGCATACACTGATAAAGACGGATGAATATCAGGATTGCAATGTAGTTTTTGAATGACTCGAGTGTTGCGGCAGAGAGTAGACCCTGCGCGACGATGCTTGTACAAAGAGATTTACTGATCACGTATACAGGGTGTCCCAAAAAAACGATACTCAAATTTGAATGGCTGTAACTCAAAAAGTAACAAAGTTAAAAATTTTTGAAAGGTCAGGATTTGTTTCCTATGTTTTTCTGCATCTCTCCACAAAAAATCAGACAGATCGATGCAGCCATAAGCGTTTGATAGAACTTTCAGTGACATGTGCTAAAATCGTGCTTGCGCAAAGTTTTAGTAAGATCATTTTGCATAATCATTACGTTGTTTTGACATGTTTTCTTTTCGCTGTTTTATTTTTTGTATCTTTGGTGAGACAAAGACATGGCAATCTCTGGTGAGACACAATCATGGCAATCTTTGGTAAGACAAAAACATGGTAATCTTTGGTGAGACACAATCATGGCAATCTTTGGTGAGACACAATCATGGCAATCTTTGGTGAGACACAATCATGGCAATCTTTGGTGAGACACAATCATGGCAATCTTTGGTGAGACAGAAATATGGCAATCTTTGGTGAGAGGCAATCATGACAATCTTTGGTGAGAGACAACCATGGAAATCTTTGGTGAAAGGCAATCTTTGGTGAGAGGCAATCTTTGGTGAGAGGCAATATTTGGTTTCGAAATTCCCTCTCACCAAAGATTGCCATGATTGTCTCTCACCAAAGATTGCCATGATTGGTTCTCACCAAAGATTGCCATGATTGTCTCTCAACAAAGATTGTTCTCACCAAAGATTGCCATGATTGCCTCTCTCCAAAGATTGCCATGATTGTGACTCACCAAAGATTGCCATCATTGTCTTTCACCAATGATTGCCATGATTGTGTCTCACCAAAGATTGCCATGATTGTGTCTCACCAAAGATTGTCATGATTGTCTTTCACCAAAGATTGTCATGATTGCCTCTCACCAAAGATTGCCATGTTTTTGTCTCACCAAAGATACAAAACATAAAACAGCGAAGAGAAAACATGTCAAAACAAAGTAATGATTATGCAAAATGATCTTACTAAAACTTTGCGCAAGCACGATTTTAGCACATGTCACTGAAAGTTCTATCAAACGCTTATGGCTACATCGATCTGTCTGATTTTTGGTGGAGAGATGCAGAAAAACATAGGAAGCAAATCCTGACCTTCCAAAAATTTTTAACTTTGTTACTTTTGGAGTTACAGCCATTCAAAGTTGAGTATCGTTTAGTTTGGGACACCCTGTATAGGCTGAAATATTTTATTTCGTAGCACATCATGCACCTCAATGTGACGTTCATATGTATTACAGAATTAGTTCAAACATGAGCTGCAATAATATTCATGCGGCGCACAAGTAGGAACGTTTTGAGTCGGTCAGACTTTTGTAGTTAGGATATTTAATTGTTCTTGTTTCAATTTTCTGGTAAACGCTTGAAAAAAAGTATGTATCTAAGTACTGAATACTTTATATCGACTATTCAGACGTAACTTCAGCAAAGCAACAAAATATAACCAGAAAAGCTGTGGAAAATAAGGAAGAGCGGCATTCCCAGCGAATATTTTAAAGCCAATTATGTGGGTAATTTGAAAGA